CTACGTGCACTAAGTCCCAGGGCTCTGTCCACCATGCACGCCATAGCAGCTTCCGGAAAGGAGTTCTTCCCCTAATTCATTCTCTTTCCTCTCTCCTTCCCTCTCCCTGCCTCTCCCCCTTTCTCACTCCCTCTCACCTCCTCCCTCTTTTCTTCCTCTCCCCTTTCAAAATGAAATGAACCTCGTAAATTGGTTTCCAGATCATAACATTTGGAAAAGCAATCTTACGTGTCATTTCCTTATCTGTCAAAGTCACTTGCCTTTTGGCTGTCCTACATTGTTTCTGTGATGTGTTATCCTTGAAGACAAGTGACAGCCACACACGCCCGTCTCCCCTAAGAGTCCCATTTCCAGAGTGAATCCGTAAGTTTGGTGTGTATGAAGAGTAATCAGGTCATACTGACAGATGCCAGAGGGATTGATGACTTGCCTGTAGGACAAGTGCCTGACTCTTGTCCTGAGAGCAGCAGTCTTCATAAGTGTCCCTTTAGTCTGGTGTGGGAAGGCTTTCCAGGGGACATGCTTGTCCAGAGCTGCTTCAGGAAGAAATGATAGGATGTTGTTCTGAGGTGACATTAAGGAGTGATCAAGGAAACTAAACCCAAGGAAATCTTTCCTCAGAATCTCACCTTCGTTCCTTTGTACTTCTTGGATGTACTTTTCGCCTGACTCAGTGAGGGAACGGAACTGGAGATGGAGATAACAATCTTGTGTAGGCAAAATGACCTTTTCTAGCGAATCAGTTAACATTCGTTTCAGTGACCGCCCACATGTGCCGCTGACCTCCTGAACTTTTAGCCTGAGTTTCAAGGGGCAGGCAAGCCTGTGTCACTCTGAGTCCGTTTAGTCTGAAGTGACACATACCACCGTGTAGACCTTGGAGCTTAAAACCCCTTCAGGAGACAGAAGAATGCTTCTAGAAGACTTACTTCACCTTGCCCTGTGTACCTACCAATGCAACCACAGGCGCCTCAGCCATCATTAAACTTGTTTGGTTAATTTGTGGCCCGTAAAGTGGCCTTACAGTGCCTGGTTCCCACACCCGGTGATGAGCAATTCCCATGGGTGTAGGACTTTGCCCTCCTTATATCTAGCCATCTTGAGGGTCATCGTGGAGGTGGCTTCTGTCCTCCTTAATTATGGGTGGAGGAGGACAGTGGTAAATGGTAATGACTCATTACTGACCCATACCTACTTCAAAGGAGCTGTGAAGTGTCTGTGATCTGCTGGTCATCAAGGCTCTGCCAAAGTATTATTTATAGAATCAGCTGTGACGGCAGCACCTACCCGTTCAGGGGATTTGGCTGAAGAAGCAAATAGCTACCTTGTGCTTTGCCCCTTTCATTAATTTCTGCTGGGCTTTGTTTCCTTTCCCATTGGAATTGATTTGGGCGGCTGATAGACCCGGCTGATGAAGACAATTAAAACCCCAGGTGTAAGATGGAGCAATCATGGAGCTCCCCTCCTTCCGGAGGCTCCTGGTTGGGTTGAGGTGGGGTTGTACTGCCACCTTGTGGTGTGAGATGGTATCTGCTTTTGGAATAAACTAGCTTTTCTGATTGACTTGCCAAGTCACTAAAATCTTAAAATGGATATTTTTAAATGATAGTAGACTATAGACTTTTCAGTTCAAAAATAAATAACCAAATTCACTTCCTAAAGGACCCACAATAGAAGTCCTATAACCCCAAACACTGATGTTTCTCAAGGCCAAAAGGCAAATTCTTATATAATCCAAAATTATATAGAATTAAGGGATGCCTCTTGTTCAGCAGTATCATGTTTTTTATTAAATTATAATAACCAGCCATGATTTTACATCAGCACAGCCAGTGATGGAGTCCATCTAAACATGGGGAAGACTCAGCCCATCTACACATTTAGGGAGGGCGGCAGTCCATCTACACACATGGGGGAGGTCAGGCCATTTACATAGAGAGGAACAGAGGAAATAATTCCATCCACCCATATTGATGAGATGTTGGCAGGAAGCATTTCTGACCCATTTTTGACAAACTGTCCAAACTTACGTTATCAGCCAAAAAAGAATGGGCAGCAGGAGTATGGAAGCAAATCCAGAAGAGACTGGGAGAGAAAAGTAGCAGATCCCTGACATGGAGGCGGCCCCTGAGTGGGCTCAGTGAATCTCTCTCTCTCTCTCTCTCTCTCTCACACACACACACACACACACACACACACACACACCTAGTAAAAAGTAGCACCTGCCACAGCCCCCTGGGGCCCCAGCACCCCACCTCCACCAGTGGGACTGCTGCCACCAGTCCTCTGCAGAAGGACCTCGAAGTCCTCTGCTGTGGAAACCCGAATAATAGGATCCCTGCCCTGAGGGTTGCACTGTGGCTCACTGAAAAACCTGCACCACATGATTGTTCTTTTCATTGAGAGGTTTTTGTCCGGGATGAGAACTTTTCCAAAAAGTATTTCTTTGAGTAGCTTTGCAGGAAATTCTAATTGAAGGGGAGTAAGCCAGGAGGTTTGACACAGTTTCTCTGAGTTCCATCCTTTATTCAGTAGCTGGTGATAGGCCCCTTTCATCCTCTTTCTCCCGGCACTGTCCTAGGCTGGCACCCCACACATTTCATTCCACTGTTGAGAACGAGCAGAGAGAGGAGAAGGAGAGACAGGTACAGAAATGCAGAGGCACTACAGATCCCTGCAAGGCTTGCTCGGTGGGTCTCTGATGCACTGAGTAATTCCCGCCACCAACAGTTTTCTGAGACCTTAGCACATTGTAAGTAGGCACTGATTAATCTGTGAATGAATAAAGGAACACACAAAGGTCTGCACAAGGTAGATGTTTCGTCTGCTTCCTAAAAATATTTTATGGTTTGGAGCTATACTGTATATAAAAAGCTATTTGATCTATTTTCATAGGTCTCCCTGGTTTAAGTGCTTGCTGGAATGTATTTTCATATCCTATTATAGTGCCAATTTGTAGACTCTGTTTAAAGTGAATTATTCTTTGCATCAACAAATCATAAGGGAAATGGTGGTTATTGTCATTCGTTAGAGCGATCCAGAGCAAACATGTGAAAGGCAATTCAACTTTATTACTCTGTGCCTGTAGTATTTACAGGTATAATATATAACCAAACAGAGGAAGAAAGAAGAACTATATTACTCAGGAAGGCCTAATTTGTATATTTATAGAGCATTAGAAGGAGGTGTTCGCGTTGACTCATAGCCTGAGGAAACAATTCACTTCATCTCCCAGAAGTCTCTCACAAGCACTATATATAAAAGTTTCTTATTCTTCAGCTTTTTGTTATTATCTGCCTTGTATAGTGAAGTAAAGATTATCACATTTCACCTGGAAAAATTTCAGTCCAGTTTTTGCCAAAATGGCTTTCACGTTTCTCCTCAGGCACCATCTAATTCACCATGAAGACACCACAGAGCTGCTTTCATGTAAGCACTCAGAGAAGGCCGGGCAGTCACAGAGCTGTGACTGGACCAAAGGAAAATGCAGACGCTGACACCCTTTTCCAGAAAAACCTTACATGATCCACTCTGCTAAGACAAAAATACTTATTTGCTTCTTTTTTTCACCGCACGAAGCTCCAGATGATTCCTTTCAAGTTAGAATATTCTAGAACTAACCAAATTTTCCTTTAAACAGGGTCTATCTGATGACAGGTCATCATTAACCTGATAACACTATTTTGAAAATATCCATAATACTTTTTTTTTGTCTTTTTCATTTTTATCGGTACCAGGGATCAAACTCAGGACTGCACACTTGCAAGGCAGGTGCTTATGCCGCTGAGCTAAATCCCCAGCCCCTATATCCATAATACTTAAAGCCATCTGACTGTCATCATAGAAGAATTGAAACTGGAGCAGGGAGCAGTAGCCACCAGCCACTAGATGCTTCCTTGGGGGCTAAGAGCACAGATTTTGGAGTCAAGGGGCCAACCTCACCCCAGCTGCCCAGTCCTGTGGCTGATGCTTGGGGAAAGTTACTTCTCTGCTGGGACTCAGCTTCCTGTTCGTGCAGGAACAGGGTCTGATGTGGGGCAGTGATGTTAAAGGAGGAAAGCGTTTAGCAGAGTCCTTGGTGCATATCAGGTACTAAAATGGACTAAGTCGCTCTTAACGTTTCTTCTGTAGCTGTGTGTAAATGGGTCTCATTTACTGTCTGGGTTGTATTCTTGGGACCTGCTTCCAGCTGCTCATTTGAAAATGCAGCTCTTGGGTGCTCACAGCAGCATAGTGGAAACCAGCCCTAAAATGAAGTCCCTCAGGCTACGTACCTGTGCGTTCAGGGGAGGGGAGGGGCTCTGTCATTAGCTCAATGGACCTTCAACATTCTAAAAGGAAAATGGGTTTGAGCACTTGTGGAGATAAGCAATTGCAGGTGATTAATTGCATGCTTACAAAAGCCTTATAATATTTTATATGGTTCTGGTTAAAGAAAAAGTGAATCCAATTTACTATACAGATTTATTGACTATTTACTTGGGAACCTTCTTTGAGGATGTAAAGAATCCATCTCCCAAACATACCCAGATGATGCGGCTCCGTTGCTGCCGCGGCTGCACTGGGGCATTGGTCCTCTCAGGCTGCAGGGAGCTGAGGCCGTACTTAGCCAGGGACTTAGCCAGAGTCAGGCTTTGTTTGAGTGGAGTCTCCCTGACCTTGCCCTGAGGCCTTACTCCTGATAGGAAATAAGGTGCTGCTTGAGTGTCTCTTCTCTAAGATGCTGAGGAACAGAAATATTTGTGTTTGGGATTTCAGAGGGATTTCGGAATATTCGAAGACACATAATGAGATGTGGGGGGGAAGGGACCCCAGTCAAAGCGTGAAGCTCATTTATGTTCCATATTTACTTTCTATGTTGTCTGAAAGTAGTTTGGCTCCTGGTTTTAGTGCACCCAGATGTGACTGCAGCTCGTCCCAGGGACATGAGGGATGCTCAGCCTGTGCAGGGTTCTGCGATGCCCTTGGGGAGTAACTTCTGAACACCTTGGTCTCCGCAGGAAGACACAGCACCCTGCCCCCCATGTGACTGCCTCTGAGCGACTGGCTTCTCCTGTCAGCGGTGGCCTTTCCTGTCCCTGCCATGGGACCCCCAGGCGGTGTGCTGAGCGGCGGCAGTCAGGCGCAGGTCATCCTGTGGGGAAGTCTGGCCGCTGTCGCCGTGTTCTTCCTCATTGTCATCCTCATCTTTCTGTGCTCGAGTTGTGACAGGTGAGAACGTTGGCCTGTTCTGTGCACCCAGAGTCTTCATGCTAAAAAGCCTGTTCCCGGGATTCCCCCACTCGCCTCCAGAGACTCGTGCCTGAAGATCAGCTAGGGCTGTTGGGGCTCAGGACAGTCTTTAGCAATCAAGTGACAACCCATGTGAATTTGGCTGGGGAGCAACACAAAGGGCCCCCCTTACACTTTAAATTTCTCAGAATGACATTCTTGCTGTTTTTCTGAAACACATCGTCAAACTTTATAATTCTTTCTAATCTGTGTAATACTGAAATCTTAAGTGTGACATACAGTTTCTTGCAGTAAATGACAGGATTTTTGCTGTGAGGTGGCTGTGGAAGGATCACTTGTGATTAAAAGTGTGTGATGTAAGCCAGCATCCGGGAGGGTGAGGTGGGAGCATCCCATGTTCAAGACCAGGCTGAACTGTGTAGCAAGACCATGTCACAAAGGAAGGGAGGGAGAGAGGTGAGGGAGGAATTGTAGTTTCTGAAGTAACAGATGATTTTTCTAGCCAAGAGACACATTGCATGTAGGATAATCACCAGTACGCATTTTTGGTTTGTTTTGGAATTATACTTCTGTCTTCCGTCCCATGTAAAATTCCAGTATCCACCCCACCCCCAAGAGATCTTTGCTCAAAGAAAAGTAAAGTTCTTCCTGTCCGGGGTGACTTCTCCCTCCGGTCCCAAGTGGATACTTCCGTGCAGCCACTCACTGGGTTAGGCTAGGAGCAAATGTGGACCAGCTGAGGCAGCTGTGCTCGAGTCTCCTCTGACCCTCAGGAGAAATTTGACCCGCATCCCATAAAACTCTCACATGGCTTCCTACCCTGAAACCTGTCAGGAGGTGGAAAGCCAGACTCCAGACCTGTAACTGCAGGAGCCTCCTAATGCCTGCCCAGTTTGGGCGCAGGTCTCGCTGCAAGTGCTGGGCCCTGAAGCCCAGCGCTGCAAGTGCTCATGTGCCCACTAGGTGTCACTCTGGCCTCACCCGTAAATGGGAAGCGGCTGCTCCGCCACTCTGGGCTCTCTTCAGAGTTCCCTGAGTGAAAACATTCTATTTTTACTCGACCGGCTTTTCCGTCGACTGGAAGTACTTATGACTCATCCCGAGAGCATGTAGCCTCCCTGACGTGCCAAAATGTGTATTTCCTTTATTTTCTCTGTCCCACTGCAGCGTGTGATTTCATACATCTCAAGTGAGGAAATAATTGTATTTTCTGAGGGCAAATGATACAGCTCGTTCCCTCATTCTAGATAGCACCCTGCTTCTGTCACGGTGTGGACTCGGTCTCCCCTCCTGGAGGAAGGGTGCTCATGAGAGGAGCAGGCGCTCCATTTCCTCACGCCCCTGACACCCACAGAGGTCAAGTGACTGGGTTTCTTCCTCAGACAGCACAAGCGTGGTTCTTAAAATAAGCGCTTCACAAGTTGAGACCAGATGTGCAGCGCACACTTGGAATCCCAGCCATTCCTAAGATGGAGGCAGGAGAATGACAACTTCAGGGCCAGCCTGGGCCACTTAGTGATTTAGTGAGCCCCTGTCATGTCACAAAATAACACATAAAAAAGAGTTGGAGGCGTAGCTCTGTGGGAGAGCAGTTGCCTAGGGCACCTGAGGCCCTGGGTTCCATCTGCAGTACTGCAAAAAAAAAAATGCTATTACACTAGGAAAAGGTAGAGTATATATCTGGTTCTAAGAAGCGCATTTGATATTGGAATAATGTTTTATTTTCCATTTTAGAGAAAAGAAACCAAGACAGCACAGCGGGGACCATGAGAACCTGATGAACGTGGTAAGCTGCTGGGGGTGTGTGTGTGTGTCCACGTATCCAGTGCATCCCCACTTTATGATCTGATCCACAGTGAGGGACAGGGCTAAGCGGGGTGCTCTGTGAGTGCCAGGACTGCACCCTTCTTCCTAAGGTTTGGGATCACCGTGGCTGGAGGCCTGTGCAGTTGGCCAGGTTGTAAAGAGTGATTCTGAAGTGGATGCAGTTGTGCGGCCCCCCGAAAGATCCTTGGACAGCTCCAGGCTCTTGCAGGCATGTTGCTATTTTGCCTCTGCCAGGCTCCAGTCTGTATCACAAAGCAGGTGATTCAAGTAACAAACCGTTGCCTCTTGGTTCTGGAGGCCAGAAGTCCCAACACCGTGGCATTGTCGGGGTTGTTCTGTCCCGGGCCCTCTCTGGGCTTCCGGTGTTGGCCGGAGCTCTCCAGTGCTCTTCAGTTTATGGAGGGTCACGCCAACCTTCATCTTCACCCCCTTCTCCCTGTACCTGGCCCACCACCCTCCTCCTTGCATGTCTCACAGGCCCCCTGCCCCCTTCTCAGAAAGAGCAGACATACTACACGGCGGTCCATCCTTGACTAGTGTGACCTCATCCTAATGAGTGTCATTTGCAGTTACCTTGTTTCCAGATGAGGTCACATTTTGCAGTACCAGAGGTTCGGACTCAGCCAAGCACAGGAGTTGAGGGAACAGGGTGCAGCCATCGCAGGTGGCTGTGAAGCTCACGGACTCCTGGCCCACCACAGTCTTGGTACGGCCTGCCTGCACGGCAGCTTCCCCAGTCCTTAGCACCTCATGGGCCCCAGGTGGGGCCACCTGGTGAGGAGCAGCCTGAGACTATCCTGGTCATCCCTGTAAGTGGCCGAGCAGTCCCAGCAGCTGAGGGCAGGTCACCTGCACCCTGGAATGGCACTACACAGAAGGTGCCTCCTGCGCGTGACATCATTCCTCCAGGTCAGGCAAAGACTGGTTGGGGAAGTGGGTACAAAGGAAGTGTGGATGGATCAAACATATGCCATGAGGTCTAGTGTCAAAGTCAGGCCTGCAGGCGTATTCAGAGCACACACAGAATACAGGCCACCAGTCCCCGAGTTCTTGGGATAGGAAGTCACAAAGACACATGGCTGCTGTGGGGGAATCGTAGGGAAAGCTGAGGGGTGGGGACACTACCTCCACCCTGGCTCCCCTGTTGGCCAGGCCTTGTTGAGGGCAGTCAGTGGCAGCAGCTGGAGGCTTGTGAACAATGGTAGTTTGGGTAGGGGCCCAGTGAGAACCAGCCCTCTGCTGTACGTGTGAGAACCAGGCCAAGGTCTCTGGAACCTGCTGTCTGCCCAAGGTCAGGCAGTAGCCTGGGTGAGATAGAAAGAAATTAGCATATGAATAAAAGGAACAAGTTCATGGCGTGTGGTAGAGCACGCCTCTCATACCAGCCCCCCAGGAGGCTAAAGCAGGAGAACCTCATGTCCAGGCTGGGCCTGGACAGAAAGACGGGGGCGGGGAGGGAGGAAGGAAATAAGCACTTTCTCCTTCACCTCTGTCTCCTCGATTACACCGCCTCATTCCCTCGCTTATGGCTTTACACACCTGTGAGACAGAGTGTGCACACACAAACACATACATGTGCCCACATGGCCCTCAGAGCTCAGCTCATGGATCATGTACATCCTGTAGATTATTAAACATGGAGTTCAGAACCCAGGGTGTGTGCCTTCCCCTGGCATTGCTTACGCTGTTGGGGGTTTATCTGGGTACCTACCCCCTTCCCACCCACTTCTCCCCATGGAGACATCTTCTCTGGGATACCAGCACCTGCATTTCAGGCTCATGGCAAAGCAGTGGACACCCAGGCAGGAAACCTGCACTTTGTTACCCAGCATGGGGTCTCTCCTGTCACTGTTACTCAGTTCTGTGTCAGGAGTCAGAAAATTTGTGAGTCCGTACAATCAGGCTCCTCTGCTGTGAATAGGAATGCTGTGAAGCTTTCCATGTGGGGTCCTGGAGCCTGAGGCCACCTCTTGGGTCGCACAGGCCATGAGAACAGTGGGAAGGGGTAGATAGTGTTTCAGGCTGCTGCCTAGCACAAGGTGGATATTTAAAGAAATATATACAGAGCCACCTTGTTTCTGCCTACCCTTCCCGATACCCAGGCCTGGCACATTGTTCTGAATGCAATGTCTGTACATTCTAGCCCAGCAGCAAACTGGCATCGCTGCCCTCCCCTCACCCCCAAATGCCTTGTTTGTTTCTGAGAATAAGAAAGATTTGCAGAGCTATTTTTTAGTATATGATTCTTTCATGAACCTTGAAGCTAGCGATTTGGCTGTTCTGAGATCAGAGGCTGTGCCTGCCCAGATCTCAGTCCGTGCCCACAGGGTGACAGAGAACAATGCTTATCATGTCTTCCATGAATACCTGGAAGGACAGCGTTTCACAGCATCCTGTTACAGGATGAGGCTGCTCCCGCGTGGGTCAGTTCTGACCAGCAGAGGAACTTCTGGTCCCCTCCCTAACTGAGCACAGCGCACGGAGCTGTCCTAACCTCCCTGCACCCATTTGTAAATCACCAAGTGGGAAGCTCTGCCAGTGGCCTTGCAGGTTTCTGGTGAGACCTGGAGCCACACTGTCCAGCAGAACCCTCCATAAGGTGCTGTCTGATATTTCCTTAGCCGTCAAGCTCTTGAATGTGACTTACCCAGGAACGCAATTTCATTTTGCTTTACCTGGTTTAAATCTCAATAGTCAATGCTGGTTTTACTCTTTGTGTTTTAACTTTTGGGAAAGCCATGCATGTTTGCCTGTGCCACACAGCCCAGAGTCTTAGTGGTATGGATGCGTTTGTGTTTTGCAGCCTTCAGACAAGGAGATGTTCAGCCATTCAGTGACCAGCCTGGCGACAGATGCTCTTGTCAGCAGTGAACAGAACGGTGCACTCACCAATGGTGACAGTAAGTTCTGCAGAAATTACCGGCTTCCCACATAGGCCTTAGCACCAAAATGCTAGGTTTCAAAAACCATACTCAGAATCTAGGAAATGTGTCCTTGCTCCCTTTGAAGATAACTGCCAGTTTTTGCAAACATCTCCTTTGGATATCTATTATCAAATATCTACTGATTGCCACGTGTAGTGACATACACCTGTAATCTCAGCACTCAGGTGGCTGAGGCAGGAGGATCACTTGAGTTTGAGGCCAGTCTGGGCTACATAGTTCAAGGCCAGATTGAACTATATAGTGAGACTATCTCCAACAAAAGACAAACAAACAAAAAATTTTTTTGGTCTTTTTGAGACAGGTCTCGCTGTGTGGTTCAGGCTGGTGGTTGGGCTCACTTTGTAACACAGGCTGGTATTGAACTTTCCTCCTACCTCAGCCTCCCACGTGCTGGGATTACAGGAGTGCACCACCACACCCAGCCAAACAAAATTATTGCCTGATTGCTTACTGTGTGCCAGGCCATGCTCTAAGATTGTGTGGTGTGTGTGTGTGTGTGTGTGTGTGTGTGTGTGTGTGTGTACATGCACTAACTCACCCAAGCCACATAAGACTACTTCTCAATCATAATATTATTTTTACCCTCTAAAATAGCCTGGCTGCTCTCCACCATTTAAAGATGAAACTCTACACATTGCTGCTATAACAAATGACCACAAAGTTAGCACAAATTTATTAATGTAGAATTCTGAGTCGATAATTCGCTAAGATCTTATGGTGACTGATCCAGGACTGCCACTTGAACTAGGTCCTTAAGAGTCTGGGGTCACACACTCAGAGCCACTTTGCAGAGTGACCATTTGTTTCCTGCACTTCGGACAAAAGGGGCAGCTCGGTCCACCTCATACTTTGCACTCTGTGCTTCCACCCGGGGTAGGAGGTCATCCTGTCACCTCACACGCTGATGAGGAACTGAGGGATGGTCAGGACTGACACCCTGGTCCTCAGACACCAGTGCCCATTCTCCATCCTCATGACACAGGACAGGAGGTCGCCTCTCCGGGGTGAGTTTAGAACACAGGGCAGAGGCGTTAGGCTCAAAGGTTGAGGGATCCACCATGGCCGTCCCTCAGGGACGCCATTTCTAGTCCCTCCAGAGTGAAGGTTAGAGTAGTGAGAGAGCTTGCTCACTCTGGTACGAGCGCCACAAGGCCCGTTTGTTGACAGATGTGTCTCCCTGCCTTGACCCCTCCCTGGCATGTGGTAGGCACCCCGAAACCATTTGATAAAGGATGGCTCGCTGGATTAACCTGGTAACATTTCTGTAACAGTCCATAACTTTCACATGGGATGTCCTACTTTCAGGGAGGGCTGTTGGAGAGCAGGGATCAGGTGGAAGACCTTTAAAGAGTGCAGAAGGTCCAGGCCCTCCCTCTCATGCAGCTCACAGGTCCATGTTTGCCCTACTGCTTCCTTACACCTGGCAAGTATAAGTGCCTCCTGGGGGAGGTGACTGCCAGCCCTTCCCTCCCAACAGCGAGAGGCCAGCAGGGCGAGACACATGGCCTCCCCACACACAGCCTTTCTCCTGGTGTCCAACTCCCACAGTCTGGGCCATAGATTGTCACGCCATCCTGTGGTCACGTGGGACACTGCCCAAACAAGTTTTACTGTGGGAGAAACGATAAGTAGGAAAAAGAGCAGTGAGCCAAAGAGTGAGTAGTTAACTCATTTATGAAACGTAGCAGGAAACCCGCAACGAGAGGCTTCTTTTAAAATGACATTGAAGTGAGCGTCCCAACAGCCATGATTTGCGGTCAAGCCTCTTGACTGAACCTAGCATTGCATAACCTATTCGCTGAACTGTAGCAGTTGTTGAAGGGCCTTTCTCTGCTTTGACACTTCCGCTGCTTCAGTCCTTTCAGAAGACAGCACCCTGACCTGCATGCAGCATTACGAGGAAGTCCAGACCTCGGCGTCAGACCTGCTGGACTCCCAGGACAGCACAGGGAAGTCCAAGTGTCATCAGAGTCGGGAGCTGCCCAGGATCCCCCCCGAGAGTGCTGTGGACACGATGCTCACGGAGAGGAGCGTGGACGGCGAGCAGGGTCCAGGCACCGAGGGGCCGTACGAGGTGCTCAAGGACAGCTCCTCGCAGGAGAACATGGTAGAGGACTGCTTGTATGAAACTGTGAAGGAAATCAAGGAGGTGGCGACAGCCACACACGTGGACAGAGGCCACGGTGGCAAGTCCAGGTCGACTCCCACCTTGAAAGAGCTTCCGGGGCTCCAAACGGAGGGCAGAGCAGACTTTGCTGAATATGCCTCTGTGGACAGAAACAAAAAGTGTCGCCAGAGCGTGAATGCAGAGAGCATTCTGGGAACGTCATGTGAGCTGGAAGAGGAGGCCCCGCCGCCTGTTCCTGTTAAGCTTCTGGATGAGAATGAAAACCTTCAAGAGAAGGAGGCGAGCACAGCAGCAGAGCAGACTGCAGAGGCGACCGGGGAGACCAACAAGGTGGGCTTCACCATTTGGGTGTCATGGTTTTTGTCCTGATGAGGAGTTCAGCTGGTCCTGGGGATTTTACATTCATATTTCCTGGGAAATAGATAGAAACACTTGCAAGTTGGTTGAATGATGAAAGCTATTTTAAGCTAAGCTATGTTTGGCTTTTGCCTCCTCAAAGTAATAAAATAGTGAAAACTCATGTTTAGAAAATATTTCTCTCTCGGCACCTTACTTGGATATTTTCCAAGATTTACAGCATGTCTAACTGGGGCCAAATATTATTCTCATGATTTTGAAGACTAAGAGTGAAATAGAGACGCCAGATTCTCTGCCTCACGTTTCATCTCCCCGATTGCTGCTTTCTCCAGCAGTGTAGTGATCTTGACTCTTCCAGGACCCCAGAAGTCAACGCACAGCCACAAGTACAGAGGGAGCTGCCTGGCAGGTCCTGTGGCTCTGCCTGACTGTACACACTTCCCTGTCAACCAAGTAGGGCTGGTCAGTCAGTGGTGGCCTTAAACACTTCTCAAATTCATGGTCAGAAGGTGAACCCCAGCAAGGTCTGCACAGGTCACACATTATCCATGAAATCAGCTCTCAAGAGCATCAGGGAAAATGTTTATGAACATGTTTATAAAATGCAAAAATGCAGTCTGTTTTTACCCCTCATATAACCAAAGTTGTTTAAGTAGTGTAAATGTGTGGGACCGGGGAGGAGCCCCATTAACACCACGGAGTTACTGGGGACCAAACAGAAGCAGCTCCCTGGAGTGATGAAGGCAGACACTTGCCTGACTGGGCATAGAAAAGGAAGTGAAAACCATCTGAGCGATTATTTGGGTAACTCTTAAGAGATCTTTCCATAGAGAAGGGAGGCAGCAGATGGAGCTAGAAGTAGGCTTGGGTTTGAGACTTGTCCTGTCGTGTTTGGACAGAGTGGACAGAGACGACCTGTAGAGAGAGGAGCGCTGACAGTGTGGACAGACAGTAGAAATACTGGAGTGCAGTGTGGGCACCGGGAGGGGACTGGCTAGAGAGGAGCATGGCAGACTCACCTGTGGTACCCAGGAGGAGGGGAGATGGGGAGATGCAGAGGATTTCTCCTTCTTTCAGTTTTCTCTGTGAATTAGAAAGCAAGATCAGCAGCTCTTGAGGCTGAGGGAAGAGGAGCTGGAGGTTTACAGAGACAGGCAGTGCCCCGGAGAGCTGAGACAGCAGGGGTTGAGACAGCAGGGGTCGCATGCACTAGGGAAGTAGCACGTGATCTAAAACAGCTCGGTCAGGGGTCAAGTCCACCGTGACCAGGGAGGGAGCTGGGGCAAGTGCACTTTTGATGGGTGACTCTGGAGTTTCTGCTTGGTGAAGCTGGAAGGAAAGGCAGCACCAAGGAGGAGGGGCACATAGGAAAGATGCTGGGTCACAAGTGCCGAGGGGTAGCTGGGATTGGGCTATGAAACAAGAGGGTTTCAGCACTAAGTGTTGGTCTGAAAGGAGCTGGTAGGAGCTGGGATGTGGATGACAGGAGAGCAAAGGTCGGGGTGCAGTTATAAGAGAAAGTGGGGGAGGCACTCAGAGGGAGTCACAGATCAGTGCAGGGAGAGAAGAAGGTCAAGGAACAAAGGCAGTTTTAAAGGATAGTGTTTGTTGAAATCACCAAGAATTAAGACCAGAAATATGTAACACACAGCTAGCAAACCAGGAGCCAAAATCATTGAGATATCAAACGGGGCAATCTACAAAGTATGAATTGAGTTGTTTAGCTTCAGAGAGTCTCCAAAATATCCAACAGAAATATAAACTATAGAAATGCACAATTCTGGCATTTGATAAAGAAGACTTGCAATTATTAATCCTTCATTGATGGCAATAGTCTCAATAATTATTTTGTGCTTACTTATACCAACAGACTTAAATATTAAATTAGAAGAAATTTCCATCTATATAACACTGCTAGGTATCCAAGAACATCCGACAATAACAGATTGTGTGAGTGTTTTTTCTCAGGTGCCTTGCATAATTCCTTTGTGTTCCATAGAAATAATTTGAAAACATTTGTATAGACAGATATGTGAAAACATATGCCAAAAAAAGACTGGATCATTGGATTCAAACTAGTCTCCTCTGGTTTGTGTTTATTCTGACAGAGATTTAGCTCATTGTCCTACAAGTCTCGGGAAGAAGATCCAACTCTCACAGAAGAAGAGGTACATTTTCTTTCTTTTTAAGTAACCAGAAAGCTCCTGTAATGAAATCTAGAATGTATCCTCTTGTATAAAAGCACTGTGATGGTTCCCTGTGTCTGAAAGAGCGTAAGTACTTTATTATGGCTCTGCTTCATGGTTAAAGTGACATGTTAGCTTTATATTCACAGAAGGTGACCAGCAGGTGATAAACCAAGAAGGGTGACAAAATGAACAGGTCAGCTGAGGAGAAGCAGCTGAGTAGGAAAGAAAGCTCAGACAAATACAGAAAGGAGAAGGTAGGAAATAAATGAGATGAGAGCAGTGTCACGATGAGAGCTTTATCAGCCACCAGGAAAAGCATTAGAAGGATATCAATAGTGGATTGGGGAAGTCATTAGAAGGATATCAGTAGTGGATTGGGAAGTCAGGACATTGAAGGAGGTGGAGGCAGAAAATATAATCCCACCTGGGAGATACAGGATGAGGGTCTCAGTGAGGAGCTTAGAGTGCAGAGAGCAAGTGACTTTAAGAAGTACAATTCCAGGCTGGAGCTAAAGTCCAACAGAGTAGCCAGCAAGAATAGATTATATATTCCTAAGTACCAGGACAAAAAGTTCACTAGTCAGACTTATAGTGACTTAGTGATTTAGTTAAAATCCTAAAGGCTAGCACTTGTACAGGCAGAGCTAGCTGAGACATAGGACTAAGCACCTTAAGTCAGCTCCCTGCAGTTCCTAACTGGAGCTCTCTGCAGAGGAAACCACGCAAGACTGATACATGTAATGCAGGTGCCTCCCCTCCAGTAGGAGACCTGAACATTAGCATATGAAGACAGAAGCCCATGCAGAAAGCTCAGGGACAGAAGTGCTCTCTGTAAGTGGCATTGTCCACCCACTATATCTTCTCTTCCCCTGGAATGGACCTGCCGTTGGTCTGCCTGGTCACACAAGCCAAACCCTGAGGATCACTCTGGACACCTCCTTTTCTGCAGTGTCTCACATGCTGTCAATCACTAAGTGTCTTCAAATGCACCTCCAAACTGTCACGCACACCCCGTCTCTGGGGGCCACCCTTTACCACACCCCAAATCCACTCCTGTGGTTCCTTGACAGCTCCTTATCCCTGCCGATCTGTTTACTACAGCCGGAGTGACTCCATTTGGGATAAGAAAACAAAATAAAAAGCAGTCTGGAAATCCTTTATCATGAATAGATTCTATGTCAAATGTTAAAGTACTTTACTTCTTATAGTGATGGTTTGTGCAAACAATAATCTACTTCTACTGAGGAATTTTCACCATAAAGAACTCTGATTCACGAACATTCATGTTAGAACAAAATATATAGAAATCATTTATTTTTATATCCCTGTCGTGTCAGATAAGCCCAGACTGAAACCAAGGTCTATGCTTTAAATACTGCTGTGCCAGCTCAGAAAAACAGTGAGGAAAGAGCTAATTATAAAATGATGGGAAATAGAGGAAAAGGAAAGAATGATTTTATGAGAATAGAGTAACAGTTCACCAAATGAGCAACACAGATGAGAGATTTTATTTTATTTTATTTTATTTTATTTTATTATTTTAGAGAGGGTAAAACAAGCCACAACAAAACAGAACAAAGCAGATCAGAAGAATACAATGTGGCACAGGTTTCAAAGCAAGACAACAGGGGATTAACATTGGCTACCATAATGTCTCTTGTTTTCTTCTAAAAGTTGTCTGTATCTTCACACACTATGAATTCATGCAAAACAAAATGGTATAAAACTAATCAAAACAGAGTAATGAAGGCATTACAGGCCTTCAAAACCAGACAATAAGAAAATTAACAGTGGCTACTGTAATGTCTCTTGTTCTCTTCAAAATATTGTTCTCTTCAAAATAGCTGTGCATACCTTTATGTATAATACAAAACAGACTAAAACCACTCTAAACGAAGAATAAAATTATTACTGGGTTTCACAGCATGACGATAGGAAACCAGCAATAGCTACCATAATGTCTCTTTTTCTTCAAAGTAGCTGTTCATGTCATCATGTATAATACAGTCAATTCTCATAAACTGTTTAGGAGAAGTTCTAGACATGTGTAAGACTCTGCATGTAAAAGATGAGAGATTTTAAAGAGAAGAAAATTAAACAGCTAAGTAGCAAAAGAGGCTTAAAGAGAAGCCTGTATCCAAACTAGAAATAATTTTGTAGAAGACACCTACTCAAAGGAACATTTGAGAGCTTGAGAAGTTATGAAAATTAGAATCCCAGAGACACCAACTGCAGAGTCAGTATTGGGCTGCAAGTTAATGGAAGAGCCTGTAATTTTTAAAAGTACAGAGGCCTGAACACCTACCCCATTTCTCTCGAGAGGAAGCGAAAGAGAGTGAGGGGAAGCAGAACATTGATGTCAGGGAGCCCAGGGCAGAAGCGGACATTGGGCCATCCAGGTTACCTTTAGGTGTGTCTGTCCCCTTGGGGTTCCCCTTGCGGGTGCGGAGTGAAACGGTGGGCTGATTCCTCTTGTCACTGTCATTCATGGTTCACGCCTGTATCATCTGTCCACGGATTTTGCTTGGGCCACCTTTTTGACACTAAATTTCATAGGTGTGTACCTCACTATGAAAATCAGTGGATTTTCTTGTCTTCTTCCTATATTCAAAGAAATTCTAATTCTTACTGTAAGAGCAGCTTTTTGCATCAAGCATGCTAAGGTGAGAACGCCACTGCACTGTTCATTAGACCAGCCGGAGCAGTGTGGGAAGAGCTTTCCAAGGTGGATTTCTCTGTCAAGGCCTAACAAAACCTGGCCGCCAGCCAGTCAGGAAGCGTTCTCACGCACATGACCAGTGAGCATGCAGCTGAGATGCTCACCCATGGTATGTGAGCTATGGAAAAGCAGGAAAATGGCCCCTGGCACTTGGGAAGCCAAGCATCTGTCAGAAAATGTGTTTATTTCCTGGGTATTAGAATGAATTAATCACTGTGGGAAAAATAAACACAGATACAGAAAGATATGTTTTACTTATTTCTAACCATGATTTATAACAATAAAATAATGCTCCACAAATGCTCTTAATCAGTACATTTAATCTTGGGTACTGAGAAATGAAATCTCTCTTGATATTAGAGATTTACAGAGCATATCAGCAACATCACAAAGGTACGCTTAGAAAACAGCCTGCTCTCATGCCAGGTGTGGCAGCACACTCCCATAATCCCACCAGGTGGGAGGCTGAGGCAGGAGAATTGCTGTGAGTTCAAGGCCAGCCTGAGCTACAAAGTGAGACCCTATTAAAGAAAGAAAAAAGAAAGAAAGAAAGAAAGAAAGAAAGAAAGAAAGAAAGAAAGAAAGAAAGAAAGAAAGAAAAGAAAAGAAAAGAAAACAACTTGCTCTCACCATGGGAAAAAGTGTCCCATGTGTGCTCTCCTGATGTCACTTCTGACTTGGCTGCTTGCAGATGAGAAAGAATTTTCCACAGAAGAAAACTAAGCCTGCTCTCTAAATGCCTTTTAACAAGTAACATACAACCAAGTAGGAAGAAGATGGCTTGCAGTACTTGTCAGGGTTGCACACATGCAGTGCCCCCTGCAAGCCGACAGCCACATCAGCCCTCTCTCACACAGGAAGCATGGGGTAGCCTCGGTCAGTGGGTCTGACAGTTCAGGGGGCATCAGATTGTGGGATCCCACCCACCCAGAGTCTCTGAGCCAGAGGTTTGGGAGTGAGGCCTGAGCATTTGCCCTCCTAGGAAATTCCTCCGTCCTGCTGCTGGTGGGAAGCTCACATTTGGAAAAGCACTGGTCTAGTAGATGTCTTCTGTCTTTGCTGGTGAAGCAGTGGAGGCTCTTTATGTGAACCCTCATTCCGATAGAGAAACCAAAGCTTGGTCCTGGGCTGCCTGAACTCCTCCCCCTCCTCCTCCTGCTGTCTCAGACCCTTCCATAGACCACGGAACTCAGTTTGCACAGAAGTAAGTAAATACGATTGATACACTTCCAAAGCTGAAGATAATGTCTACCATTCATCTCTAGGAATGTAGTCCAGAATTAATAGCACTGTCTGTGTCTGTGTGTCTCTGTCTGTCTGTCTGTCTGTCTGTCTGTCTGTCTGTCTCTCTCTCTCTCTCTCTCTCATGCCCATAAGGGCTAAGTATGCAGCTGACTCCAAAGAGGGAAGGAAGAAGTGTCTTCTTGCAATTAGAAGCATGTTTATTCAGTTCTCCCTTTGTTTTCTAGATCTCAGCCATGTACTCATCAGTGAATAAACCCGGACAGTCGGTGCATAAATCAGGACAGTCACTTCAGCCACCAGAGACCGCCTACACCTCCATTGAAGGGGCTCCTCAGAGGTCGCCCTCTTCCTGTAATGACCTCTACGCTACGGTGAAAGACTTTGAGAAAACACCTAACAATGTCAGCGCCCTCCCACTGGCAGGGAGACCCAGTGAGGAGCTGGAGCCAGACTATGAAGCAATACAGACTCTAAACAGAGAGGAAGAAAAGGCCCCCCTGGAGACCGGTAGCCACCAGGGGCCTGTCCCTAAGGAGAATGACTATGAGAGCATTGGAGACTTGCAGCAATGCAGGGATGTCACCAGGCTCTAGCAAGGCAGAAGACCTCTCCAGAGAGCCTGTGATTAGCTTCTGGGGACAGTTCTTCAGTGGAAGGGAAGTGACATCAACCTACCTTTTGTATGCTGCTTTCGTGAACTGAAGACAGTTGCACATGCCGGGACTATTTCCCCGGTTCTGAAATGGTGAGGTACAGACCTGCCCTGCGTGTGGGGCTGCCAGCCTGGGGACAGGCTCACCCCAGCACATGCACAAACTCCTTCTTGCATCCTCGTCCTCCTCAAATGATCCCAGCTTCCCAGGATTCGTCCTATGGATGAGGAAGCCAAGCTGTAAGAGCGAACTCCAGTCCACCTGCCTGAAATACTGCCATTCAGAAGAGCCAGGGTTTTCTTCCTCTCTTCTCTTTTCTCTTCTGCTACTAACTTTAAAACATACGGCATTTGCCCCCTTTTGAAATATTCTGATTTCTATGGCTCTTTCAAGGAAATCCTCCCCTAGGAGTTGGCACTGGCCTTCAGCATGGACTGCCAGCCGTGGGGAATCCAAACTCTGCAGGAAAATAGGTGTGGGGCAGGACGGCCCTTGAGTCTCTTAGGTCCTCGTTCCTTCTTATGTTGGCACTGCAAATCGGCAGCCTTTCCCCAAAGCACTTGCAGTCATTTTTAAATGATTTTTTTTATGTTTCTAGTCAGAACTGTTTGCCCCTCAGTGTTTAAAAACTCATCAGAGTCTTTTTCAGTATTTTCAACAAATCTCACGGTACTTCTGCACTTGTGTGAGCCCAGGACTCGTTCCCTTCAAAACAGAGAGCCTTAATTTCACGTCAGGGCACAGGCCACACGTGGGTGGCAGCCGTGGCTTCCCTCCCCCAAGGGCTGTGGACGTGAAGTGTACTTCTGGTGATCTCTGCCACCACCCCAGGGTGGACTTTCCTAAGTTATCTTCTACTTCAAGGTAACCTTAATCTATCTGAAGTTCAAATGTAAACATTTATTTTTATTATGTAAATTTATAAGATGTCTTATGTTTAATGCCTAGTTTCTAGAAAATACCAGAAAATGTATATGAACTATTTTGATTTTATGTACAATGATTTTTACTCTCCTTTTGAAAAGACACCCTAAAGCACATAAGCTAGATGATGACAAGCAGCTGTTATTTTTTCTTTCAAACAAGTGTTTGAAATGTTGAAAGTTTGTTAAAGACCCAGCTTTGCAATGGTACTTAGTCTAATCCAAATCAACTAAACTACTGGAGAAATAAATGCAGTGGGCATAAATAATCATTTTTCCAGGGTCAGGGTGAGTAATATTGAAATACCTGAAATGGTAAAAATGGAAAAATATGACTAATGAATTGTGAATCTCCCAAACGTATTATACTTTTATTAAAGTTGAATGACATTTTTCAAGAAAACAGTGATGAATTCTGCCGTTCCGTGCTTGCTAATGCAAATTAGCTATTAGAATTGTTTTCTTCATTTTATAAAAAATCACTGGCTGAAATAGCTCAGATTGAGAACTCTGCCTGGTTTGAATTTAATCATCATTTTAGACTGGATAAGGCCACCATTGGAGAACTGTTCACTTTGCATTTTAAAAGGAGCCTAGTGAAAGTATCATCAGGAAGCGTGGGCAACAAAGGGGACTGTGTCCTGCGCCAACAAAGAGGTGAGCCGTCATGTCACACCTCAGTGACATCTGTGACTATAAAGATTTGATAATCTTGCTGTTTTCCCTCCTTCTGACAAAGAATGAGATTGGGAGGGTGAAGCATCTTGAGAACTGTAGCGACCATCTCTCTGGCCTGTGTTTCTGACCTTGTATTCAGGGACTGGCTTTGTGACTGGCTCTGTAAGACACTTCTGAGGTTGCTAAGAGGATTCTTCCAGTGTGCGCTGGTTGGTTGTCACCGTCTTTCAGTCAGCCTGGTCTCTCCCAGAAGACCTCATGTGCATAAGCACAGTCATTGTTGGTTAGAAAGTATTGGCGGAATACCCCCAATCCCTTGAGTGAACTATCAGGAAAATGCAACCACTTCCTCTCTGAATTCAGATCGTTCATAAGTACTGCCTACTGATTTTCACCATTTTGTATTAATAAGTTTGACCCAATAGTCTCTCGGGTCACAGGCACCCTTAGTACGCAGTGACAACTGTGTCACACAACACACCTCCATTGTGCAGGCTCACTACCTACAGCCTAGAAGTTCTATTGCATTTCCTCACGGCTTTTTGTCATCAGGGAAGCAGGTATGATCTCGAAAGTGTAAAACCCCTTTCTTTAGTAAGGGACAAGTTCTTAATAAATAATCATATAATCTTCAGATTGCTACTGTTCAAGTACAGGTTATGCAATCTAGTCATAAAATTTGCCCTGAAAGCTCTCTCTTCATTTGAAAGCCAGTGATAAGAATGAGTTGTGACAGAAACTATTTTAAAAGAAACCAGAAGACCATCCAGCAACAATTCTGAAACAATCAATGACAGAACAGCCCACAAGGCCTGGGGGAGGAGAAACAAGCATTAGGAAGACAGCTGTGCGCTTCAGAGCACTGGGTATATTATGAAAGCTTCTTTTCTGAAGTATCCTCCTTGTTCTGTCTTTATTGTACAGTTTTTCATAAGTTTTATCTCTCTCACTTTGTTCAAAATCTGTGAGTTGGACAGAAGCCTGCAGGTTCTCTGTGAAAGTTTTATGTTGAGTGAAATGCTACAGAGTTTAAATGTATGAAAGGTAGTTATCCAGAACAGAATTCACTGTATATTTAAAATTCCAACTGATATCCATAGTATGCATCCAGTTATAATGATCTAGGTTATGTGAATTTATATAAAAAGATAAAAATAAATTTTAGGAAGGTTTTTTTGTTCTATAAATCAGAATTGTAGATATATCTTGGTTAGATATAGTAGCAGCTCTTGGTTCAGATGTATTGAAAGTATAGAAGAATTTCATGATGATTTTAATATTTCCCGACTATAGTCAGCAGGGAAGTGTAACTGTTTTGTATGAAATGTTTGCGAAATCCTAGGAGAAAGTAGTTTTGGGAAATAAGTTGGCTATATACTTTTTTCTTTGTGCTGATCTAAATTATATCATTAAGTCTGTTAAAAAATGCTGTACCAATATTCTGCTTGGAGAAAAAAAATCCCAGAGTTAATTGTAATTGAGTTTTAAATTAACAACAGGTAGTCAACACAGGGAATGAAAATTGAACCTCAGTATGCCAGTCCACTTCCCTTGACTTTCATTTTTGTAATTAGAGAATTCACTTATGTTAACCAGTAATAAACTATATGTGAATACACACATGTATGTGTGCATGTATAGTTGGTGCTGGTACAGTCCTGCTGCAATTAATTAATTAGGATATGCTCTGTTAGTATTCAGAATGTTTATACTACTAGTATGGTAAACCTTTGTCACAAAAGTAGAACTAGAAAAAACAGTTCTCCATAGTTTTTATTTGGTAATTATGAGAAAATCTTTTTGAGTCACCCTCATTTAATTTTTCTAATGAACACATTCAGATTTTAAATCATGTCCAGAATTCTCTAGGCTGAAAACCAGCATATTTTAAGATAGTTTTGTTGTGTAAGTCACTATGTATCCAACCTGAGAGGAGGAATTGTAAATAGGTATACTTCTCAGATACATGTTCAAGAAGACGTTTGGCCAAAAGCAGTAAGATCAAAGCCTGAGCCGGGATGAACCCGGGGGACCCCGTATGCCAGGTAGCAGGGACAGAACTGGGTATCGTGTGTGGCAGTCTCTCTAAACCCCCAGATTTTACAGTGGAATCGCAATCAGTGATGTAATATGACGTGATGAAAACTGCCCTGAGATGATACCCTCTCTGAGATGATAGGACCCCACTTCCAGACGAATCAGGACTTTACAAATGAGTAAATAATGCTTCCTTCAATGCTCCGTGTAATCACTGCTGCCATTCTGCTCAGAGTGTTGATTTCTGGTCCTACCAGCTTAACTTTGGCTGCTGAAAGCACAGAAGATACTGATGGTTATTTCCTGGGAATCTTCACAGGTTTATTGTACTATGTAATTGGGAAAATTTAAAGTGTGATGTTTGCTGTTAATAAGTGACTGGTGTGAAAATGCGAACATGTGTCTATGATACCGAATGTGGCTTTATTTGCAATGAAACCTAAATTCCTTATCTTTTATTATTATTTTTTTTTTTTTTTTTTTTTTTTTGGTACCAGGGATTGAACTCACAAACTCGCGCTTGGCCAGGGAGGCACTTGTGCCACTGAGCTAAATCCCTGCCAAAATTCCTAACCTTATAGTACTATTTTATTGCTCTCTATCTTTTCTTAAATATATTATTTCTGCTAGTGACATTAAGCACATTTAGATTGAAAATGTTTGACTTAAACACAAAAGACATCAGTCCAGAAACCATGATAAATAAGAATCTTTATCTGGAATCACCAAATTATCTTTTAACATAATGGCCCAGAGAGAGCAAATATACATGTGTGTGGGTTTTTTTTTTTTAAGTCTACTGATCATTTTTAGATGTGTTTACATCTAGATTCTAATATTTGTAAAGTACCTCACTTTTCAGATTCTTTTAAGTGAGAAATAGTTCTAATTCTTCTTAATGTCACATGCAATGAGAAATAGGATTCTGTTAAAAAGACATTTTTGAAAAGCTTTCAATATGATATTCATTTATCATATTCCAGAAAGATTCTTCTTTGCTTACCACTTATATAATGGGTGTTTTTCAAAAATATATTGTGTTCTTATTGTCACCCCCCACTTTGTATGGCAGATTATAAAGGTCGTCAGCCTCAGACTACTGTGTGTTAAACTGGCCATAGTAAAATGCTTTAATGTCATTACTTTTTAAATAATTGTGTTGTGTTAATGTGCCACATGTTTTCTGGGTAACTTTGAAAGACAGAGCCAAGCAAACAAAAGTCTGTGAGAAATAGGAATTGCTAATTTATTATGTGTGTGTTTTTTCCTTATAAACATGAAATGTTATCTCTTAGCGGTTACAAACAGTCTGAAAGTACTTCCCCCTCCTCAAAAACATAAAAAAAAAAACAAAGTGACACCAGCAGTTTTATTCATTGTCTCAAAAAATCTTAATAAGGGTCAAATTGTCCAGTTCTCAAGAGTGGGAAGTTGTTTGCAATAGCAAAGATTTTTAAACCTTAGTTTTACAAGTCCAGAATTATCTCGTGTTATATTCAACATCATTTCCTCTCCTGACTCTAGTCTTTTTAAGGAGAAAGTCTGAAGGAGGACACCAAGTCACTATTTCTGCCGGCCTCCTCCTGGCTCCTCCCAGGGTTCTGTCACTGCCACAACAGGTTCTGTCATTGTCCCTTTGTATAGCACCCTGCCACGCACCCAGCTGTGGGTCATATCATTGTCAGTTCTGCAGAATCATTCCCCATTATGGCTGAGTAACCTGACAACTCTGCCCAGGTCAAACTGTACCCCAAATTTGCCTAAGGAAGCAGGAAATGCTGGTGTTGTCATGTGTTTTGCCAAACCAACTACATTCCTGCACCTTTTTCATGAGCATGATTGACACAGGGGACCATGGAAAAAACTTTTTAAAATATCGTGGAGGATTCAAACTCACAAATACAGAAATAGCAGCACCATGCTCTCATGGGAACAGTAAGCTCACTGTCCCCCGCAGTGTTCTGAGCTGTCCTGCTTCATCTCAAGGTCCAGGGAAAGAGCACCCTCACTGACCACCGTGTTGAAGCAAGACCATTGTATCAGCCACAGAACAACGTTACAAGTACAGGAGGAGGAAGTTGGTGTTTTCTTAAGGGTAGAAAATCCTGATGACAGTTTCTCCTTTTTAAAGTCAACTTGTCCTAGAATGTCTTAGCTGGGTAGCTGTTAGACTTCCTCCCCTTATGAAATGGTGCTCTTAAGTTGTGTTAGTTTTAACGACTTTGCTGTACTCTCTTAGATCTGAAGAAAACAGAATATTCCAGCATCTAAATGGGAAGTTACCAGACACCGAGAGTAAGTGGGCTCTCCCTAGTCAAACAGTCTGGTTTTGGGCGTAGGAAACCAGGTGCCCTCTGTCGGCCCAGGTGACGGAGTGAGGGAGCAGTTGAGGGTCTCATCTTCTGTACACAAAGAAGCTGAGTACACAGAACTCTGCTGTTTTCACCTCACTCTAAGTCACCATATCTCATCTTGAGCAGCTATTCTGGAGTAGATTTGGGGTTTTTTTCAAAACTGGCAGAATAGGTAGCTGCTTATTCTCTTCCTGCGTGTTTTAAAAGCCTACCACTGGACACAGCTCATGCTGTGTTTAGTTTGTTTAGTTTGTTTCTTTAACTCAACACACTGAAAACCATGAGGTTTAAACAGCTTCCTTTCCCTTTCCTAAGCTTAGAAGGGTCTCTTTTTAACCTTTAGCTCCTCCACTTAGGTCGTGGAGGCTTTTTTTTGAACGACAGCAGTGACCTTCGCTAGGTAAAGCCACTAAAACCAAAAAGCCAGATTCTGTCTCTAGAGGATTTTCAACGTTCCTTTGACAAATGTCTGTGCAAAACCAATCAGTGAACCTCACATGACATTCATCACCGGTCCTTAAGCTTGCTTGCTTGATGACTGGCTTTTTAATTTTTATTTTTGGGATATAAACATTTCTCATTTTCTCTGAAGCCACACTAGCCTAATTCCTGTCGCTTCTCCACAACAGCCTGCTCATGCCCTATGGGTGACGGTGCGTCCAGCAGCTCTTGTCTTATGGGCAGAAACCATGTGAAAAATGCCACAGAAGATGGATTTTAGGTTCAAGTCCATAATCATTTGAGAACATTCTACATGCTTAGATTTTTACACTTTAATTTTTTTTAAGTACTGACTACATATTTTACTTGGGGGAGGGAGTAAAAGGAACATTTTAGCTAAGGGCTAAAATAACCACTAATATGGGCGCTTACATGGGTGATTTCTGCCCTTGTGTTTGTATATCTCTCTGGAAAATAGATTGTCCCACCTCTGTCACCCAGAGACTTTTAGTAGTAAACAATGAATAAATGTAAACAAAAAAATTATTTCAAAGATCTAATTGTTCCTTTAGGTATTTTCTTCTTTTTAAACTCAGGAATAAACCTGGTTCATGTGTAGCATAATATGGCTGTTGAAACTGTAATATGTAAATTACTATAGGGTCCTTTTAAATACACTTTTTCTAAAGACTTCTAGCTTTGTTTCAGTGAGTAAGAGAAGCCCTTATAGTAAGAAATGCAGAACAAAAAAACTTCTACAAACTCTTTCGAGAAGAATGTAGCATCAGTCCACCATCCATCCCAGAGTTTCTCATCTGTTGTATTTCAACAATTTTTATGGCTGAAAAATAATGAAGAAAAATAATTTTTATATTTTGGAAAAGTGAATTGAGGTGTTGAATTAAATTCTCAAAGGAAATTTCTCAAAGAAAAGCATTGGTTTTGGAGACAAGAACACAGGGCTGTGGTCCCTGTTCCAGCATTGACTTTACTGTGTGACCTCAAGCAAATGGTTTAACATTTTGTGCCTCAGTTTCTCCATATATAAATGTGGGGATGATACCAACCATTGCCTACCTCATAGGGATGTTTGGGGGACATATGAGATAATGTTGATAAGTACGAATGCTTTCATCTCTTTAGAAGAAAGGTGCTATATAAATTGAAGTTAGTTTGTTTTAATGCTCCAGTTATTAATTATGTTTAGGGTTTAGATAATAGCAATACTGTTAGTTGTGTTAAGAATACCTTTCAATTTAATGCATATTTCCAATTCTCTTCTGTGGCCACATCTCATCTAGTAATGGTACCTAAGGAACCAAAATGAGTATTTGTTTTTCTGTGTTTCTGCTGGAGGTATTTCAATTATAAATATTCAGAAAAGCCTGAAGTTTAACTTGTAATATCTTATGGTTTACATGTAATAAACCTTATTCAAGCTGTATATAAAAAGTATAATTACAAGTAAAGTATAATTACAGGTAAATAGCAGGTACATTGTAATTAAAGGCACTTATCAAATTGTCTTTGTTTTTTAATTGTAATAAAGGTCAGTTTTATACAAAAGCTTGTTAAAATTCATTTGGTATTTGGAAAGGTCAAGAATGGACAGTTTGTATATTCGTAGGACACAACCAGGCTTTGGGATTCTAGAAGAATAATAACCACAAGAACTGCATGTGGTGATCAGACCAGAAAGAGTACTGGTTAGGATCAAAAACTCTGCAGAAAAGGACTTTGATTTGAGTGTGAGCTCCAAGGTGACCTTGAGAATGCCGTTGGACTTCTCTGTGCCCCCTCGGACTTAGGAAAGGAGATAACACCATAGAACCTATTCATATGAGTTGTATTAGGGACTCAGTGAGGTAGTAAGCATGAGACACAGCAAATGCTAAATGCTCTACAAGCGCTAACAGACATCTTCACAAGTCTGGAAATCAGTGGTGGCATCTGTCCACACTTGCTGGGCACTGCTGTGAAGATTTGCAGCCTGAGAGTAAGTAATGTCCCAGCCACAAGGACAGTCCATCGGCTTGATGTCTGAAGAAAGCCTCAGAGCAAATGACTAGAGCAGCAGACCCTGGCTGCCCACTCCTGTCAGGACTACCTTGAGGCCAAAAGCTAAAACAGTGAGGGCTTCCTGCTTCCTTTTCATCTGTGCCTCTGAACTCAAGATGCCCGAAACCCACAGTTCCTTCATGTAAGACCCGGCCCCGACCGGGCCTCCCTTTCTGAGCCTGCCTTGGTCCCTCCTCATGTGTACATTGGTTCCCATTTCTCTTGCTTATTCTAACCAGATAGCTTCTCCCTATGCAGAGGGTTACTAACCCCTCCATTCTTAGGACTGTTGACAATGAAAGGAACTTTCTGTCTCTTGCTATCTTGAGCCCAACCCACTCTTCACCATCATGGAGGGCATTGCAAGCCCTAGGGAGGCTGCCAAAGGTGCCGCACACCATTAGCAAATACTGCTGAACCCTCGGAGCCCTGCTCACTGCTCGCATGTCCAAGGGCACAGCTCACTCTTTGCTTTCCAGTACATGGTATAAACCACTGAAAGCAGCCTAGAGTCTGGCCGTGTTGGTTTCAAACCCCAGCTTCATTCTCAGAAGCACTTTCTCTTCTTACCCAGAACTGTCAGGCTCAGCACCTTTCTATGTGCGAAGATGGCACTAAAAACCTCGTTCCAAGTCTTTGGATCATAGACCCAGGCTTCCCACATGGACTACATGGAGAAATTGAAGCTCAGCTCAGCAGTTTGGTAGGTTTTGTGTCACCTGGGGAGCGGAGCAGTCTGCAGTTCTGTCAGGTGCACACTGCCAATTCCAACACGTAGCAGACATTTAGCAGTTGTTCACCAAGAAAATGAGAATTCTGCTGCCCTAATTACAGGGAACCAAACCTAATTCCCTCCACTTAGTCACTGTTTAAAAAAAAACTGTTCATTGATGCACCTTTCTATCTACAAATACAATCTGCACTATGACTCTATTCATTGAAAAAATATTCAGGACCTAACTGTACCCTTAAGGTCATAATGCTCATTACTTGCTGTCATCCTGGATAATTCTTAAAGTCTTAAGGCTGGACCTCAGGCGCTCCAGTGCCAACTGTCTACCAGGCATCATATCTGTTTCCAAGATGTCTCCATCTGGATTTCCTGATGTCACCCCAAAATGTGAACAATTTCTGTAAAATTTCTATAAAATCATCTTTCCCAGCTGTCCCATTTGATCTTTGGGGTGCATTTTAGATTTGAAGAGTCCCTGCACACAGCAAGCACTAAATAAATGTGTGGTCTGGCCTAAATTCCCATGCCATTGCTCACAGTCCTGAGTCTGCTTTGACCTAATGTTTATCAAATCTTAGGATTTTGTGCTTGAGTTTTTCCTGCTTCTGAAAGCTTTTTGGTGGCTGATTTTCTGAAGAGATGGCAGGATAACAAGGTAAGAGTGTCCTCCAAATGCGACTGGCCCAACGAGTGGTGGGGGAAGAGGAGAGGCATCTGGCTTGGAGATAAACAGACTCACCACCTGGCAGAGCAGTCTTCGGAAACAGACAAGTGATTCAAAGCAAACAGCTTTCAATGTTCAGATTCAAAAGGAAAAAAATAAATAAACCATAGCAACATCAAAGTGGAAAAACAAGTTAACAGGAAAACAAAAGAAACCACAGGAAACCCATTTATTGCTTTACTCTATAAATATTTACTCAGCACAATGTCCCAGGTATTGAAAGTGGCAGAAGAGAGACAAAACTTTTGTCTCATCGGACCTCACATTTTCTAAGGGTCTTGAACCTACATTTAAATGCTTGGTGTGCACACCTAAATTCTCAGGGGATTCAGTATCATGTTATCTCAGCCAACTGTACCAAGTCTCTAGAGATCCACTTTAGATAAATGAATCTGGAAAGTCCTCCATGGAAAGGTTATAACTAATGTGAGACCAGGAGAGTGAGCCAAACAAACAGCACTCCAGGAATGGAACAAAGCCAGCACCAAGCCAGGAAAACCTAGATCTTCTCATAACATACATATAAATCAATGCAGAATCCGCCCGCCATATACCGTACCTTTAATCTTCAAAGCAAGCAAGTTAAACACTTCCGAGTCTCGTAAAAATGATCAAACTGAAGCACACAATAGCTGTCTGTCTTCCTTTCTCTGCCTTGCTTGCCTTTGTCTAACCAGTCACCATCCAAAGTATTTGAAGCAAGGCAAGTCCACCTTGCATGCTGTCACCAGAATTACCCTCCAACAAGCAAGACTGTTTGGGTCCGGAGGGAAGGACAGATTGCTCAGTGAAGTCATGATTAAGGCTCTACTATTTGCCCAGTATTGTGCCAGATTCTGAGGAGACTGCAGTGAACAAGCAAGGGCTTCTGTCCCAGTGAAGCGTGCCTTCCACTGGGGGAGAAAAGGCAACGATTTCAAAAGAAATTTCAGATAGTGAGTGTGATAAAGCAAGATGACTAAAGGAAATGATTGATTTAGGTGGGGCAGGAAGAATGATACCTTTCTGCTGGATAGGGGTAAGTGACCTGGAGTAGCCATATATAGCTTGAGGAACAACATATCCCAAGAAAAGCAAATGGCAAATGCACAGGACCCTAGGGAGGAAAAGAGGCGACAAAATTCTGGGGCCTCACAGGAGACCATAGCAATGGAGCGTGGGGAAGTGTGAAAGTCGGAAAAGACCGAGGGACCAAGACCCAAAACACAAACCTGCTACTTACGAGGCTCTAGTCTACATCCAGCTTTCTGCCTGTACCTTTAATCTTCAAAGCAAGCAAGTTAAACACTTCCCAAGTCTCATAAAAATGATCAAACTGAAGCACACAATAGCTAAGTTGCCCAACTTTGAGTTCCAAAGATGAAATTTGAACTAAGGTAATTTCTTTTCACACCTGAGATCTTAATCAGAATTGTTTTATAGGAGATTTTTATTATGGCTTAGGACCAATGGAATTTCCAAGGAAAGCACAAAAACACAAATCATAAAGGAAAGTACAGATGTATTTGTTTCCATACATATATAAAATATCTTTATGAAGACATACATACATTAGTATAAACAGCAATATCGGAAAACACATACTTCAGTATAAACAGACATCAGTATAAGCAGCAACATATCTGAAGAAATCAGTATTAGCACCATGTTCTCACTGACTTGCAAGTCAATACGAGGTGATCACTAATATAATATCAAGGGATGAGTGGCTGCTGAGCAGGTAGGTAAAGAGCATTTAAGTTTCTGTCTATACTATGTGCTGGTGACATAAAAGTGAGTCACAGACCACCACCCTGGCCCCGTTTCCTGGAACCGCAGCCTTGCGGATGATCGAGGCATTTTCAGATATGATAACAAGAAACAAAGAGGCTTAGCCTGAGTCATTTGGGGTTTGTCCTGGAAGGTGCTGAGCTCAAGGGCAGGGAGGCCAGTTCAGACATCATGAGGGCTTGACCCAAGCAGGGGGAACAGGACAGGCAAGAGGGACGTGTGCTAATACCAAGCAAACGTAGATGATGAAACAGAAGAGAGGTGGTGATTGATGCAATGTGGAGGATTTAGGGCTCAGATTAAAAGATGACTTGGATTTCTGCCTAGACGATGACTTTAATGAACTATAGATATAAAAAGAGAAGGTTTGAAGGTGGTAGACAGTAACTTCAGTGTGGACTTAGAATGTGAATTTTTGTGTTTCCACATCTAAAAGTATAATCTTTATCTATTTTCCTATTCATTGAGTAATTAGTTAATATGGTCTGAGCTTCGTGTTGAAAGATACTGTATCCTATCATGCCATGGAGTTGGAGAAGGAGATACAAACTCATCTGCCACAGTACATTGAAAACTATGGAATTTCCACTGACATAATCATCCAGACTTGAACCAAATCAGGGGGTCCTTCTAAGTGAGGAGTTAGTTCAATGATGGGTTTCCCAAAACCCCATAGTTCCTGGTGAACTAAATTCATTAATCTTACATTAACTTCAGCTCCAGCAAATAACTGTCACATGATAGTATGATCATATCAGTGCTAGATGAAAGAATCTACAATTATCGTAATGAAGACTATCTTAATAACTAAATGAAGACTCAACGTGGAGAGCTGGCAAACAGTTAAAAAGAAGAGAAAATATAGAGAATAAAACTATGTCTACTGATCAGCATACTACCACCCAATTAGCATTTTTTTAATTGAGATAAAAATAATTTTCCCATAAAAATACCTGTCTCCTCCTCCTCCTTCTTCCTCTCTCTCTTCTTCTCTCTCTTCATTAATTAATAGAAGCTCTTGAAAACAAAAAGATTTCTGCTCTGAGATTTTTGTTGTCAACCACAATTAGCGTTAATGTTATTTTTCCAGTCTTTAATCCTCTGGTGCTTCTGTCATTTCATTATTTCTTATAAGTGGTGGATCCAGTGACCTTGAATTGTCCTCAGCGCCTTTCATTTGCTTACCATCTACATCTTGTTATGTGCTGAAGGGTAAAACTAACAGATTGATTGTTT